TAGCCCATTATTTCACTGTGAGGGTGTTGTTTTTCTGTCCCAAAACCCACGATATTCACAGGTAGCGCTCCAAAAATCTTGTGGATTTCTCCAAGATTGTTTCAAAACTAATTTAAAAATTGTATCCTGCCCATGGCATAGCTATATTTGAAAAACAGTCCAAGAATAATATTCAGGTTTTCAAAAGTGAAAACTATCTTTTTGGAAATAATAATAATAATAATAATAATAATAATAATAATAATAATAATAACAATAATGATAATAATAATAATAATACAAAACAAACTGCGATTAAATGTCATATTATTCATGTTTATAATTCTAAATGTTTAAATTAAAAGCAAACTGTCTAGTGTCTATCTCTTAAATTTGAATAATTGTGTGCTGTTCAAATAAGAAACTTCCGATCTTCACACAACTGAGTTATTACCAAGAATTAGGAGCATTTTTGTAAAAGATTTATTTCGAAGCAGCAACCTTAATGTCATTACTCAAGCTTCGAGAAATTCTAGAGATCTGATCATCCCAAAAGGCCCTGAACGCACATAAATATTTCATTGGGAAGAGGCTTTCAACAATGGCCAGGGGAAAAGCAGAGAAAATCCTCTCCAGTTGGACAGAAGTCCTAATGAACCGTTGCGCTAAAATGAGAATTAAGGAGAAGGCTTTAGTCAATTGGATTTTAAACTCAACCCAAATGCGCACTTCCTTGTTTGGGACGAACACCTGTCCAGCTGTTTGCTAAAATAATTCTCTAAGAGATTGATTGTCCTGAAAGTTGTGTGAAAATTGGACAGGGAACGGAGCAATTGCTGTTTTTCTCCGCGCGTAATTGGTCCCCTGGTCTAAGAAGAGAGGTTTCCTAAAAGCATTGTAGGATAATTACAGGCTGTCCCACGAAACGGTGGCTAAGGCAGAGCAAACAGCAGAAAAACCTCCAGCCCTGGACTACCCTCCACCAGCCCAGCCCCAGTAACTGATGACTGACTTCTTATGCGTAAAACCGGAAAAACCATTTGGGACAAAACGCTTAACGTCCAGTGCCGCGGCCCGCCGCTAATAGGGATTTCAGTCAGAGGTAAACACACACACACAGAGCTGATAAGCCCCCCGCGTCCC